GCACTTTGGAGGTCGATGTTGTGCTCGACCATGATGATGCAAACGAGGTTTTGGAAGTCACCGTCGGCTTGCTCTTTCTGTACGTTGGTCAGTGACGGCATATGCTTCCTGAGTATGTGCTCTTTCTTACATTGAAAGAACAGAGATCCTAAGTTCGAAGCAGTTGGTCATCATTCGGAAACGTGAATCATGACACTCACATTGGGCCAGGTCATGATGTCCGTTGTCGCATCCGACATAGCCTTGACGATGGAATTCTCGAACACGTAGTCTGGAATATCCAAATCCAAGGAATATTCTATCATTGCTAGCAGTGGCGAAGATTGCCATCATTTCATCGAGATCCCAGTTCGCCTCAAAGCATACCTTCGACTAAAGCTGCACCAATCGTAGCTCGCCTGGATAGTATGAAGTCGTTCACGGAAGGCATCGTATCCGTAAAGCGACAATGAGATTGATTGACTTGAGAGTCGCTAAATGCCTGGTACGCGGCCATAAACCTGGTGTTTTATAATCCGTGAGTCAGTCAAATCGGGGCAGTTTTGGGTCGTAGGAATGGATGGCTGACCTGGTGCATGCCCCCGGCGTTGCCGTAGCTTGGATACGCTTGAAGAGACTACAATATTCGGGCTTGTCGTCAAGAACCAGGTGAGCTACTCAGAAAGGACTCACTCTTGGAGCATTGCTGCGTATGGATAACTAGGCACAGGGACGTTTGGATTGTCCAGGACCTCCCGGCATATATCGACGCTGTTCTTGACGGATTCAGGCTTCGCCTGCAGTTCGCCTTCATCCGAGAGGTCGTCCGTCTAGGTAAACTATGTTGAATAAAATTGGTGAATATCTGAAGTGACATACCGCAAACGCCCAGTAGAAGAAGGCCAAGCAGGTCTCCAGGTGACTGGGATCTGCATCGGGGAAGCTCAAGGCAGCGAAAGTGTCAAAGCGTCCACGGTTAACATATTCACTGCTGCGAACGTTGTCGTACACCTCAAACCTGTAGGAATCAAGATACCAATGGCGCACTCCTTCCCATGTTGGCTGATGCTCACCCCAGAAACCACTGGCGCATCTTTTCAGCCACTAGCTGGCTGTGTGGATTGACTTTGAGCGCACATGCTCGGGCGCTGATATCTGCAAGGTTCTGCAGAGAGAAGGTCTCGGGGAAAGGGCGAAAGGCATACATGTCGGTAGGATGAATTGCAAGGTACGGATACTCTTGATCTTTCCGTAGAAATACGTCTCCCCCTCCCTGTTTGTGCCAGCTCGGGCTTCAAAATGTGGACCTACCTAGAAGTATCCGCGGATTCCGTAGAACCGATTTTTTGAGCATGATGTTGCTAAACGGTCCTTGCCTTTCGGTTTGCTTTCGTTATTCTCCTTGAGTATTCTCCTTGAGGTCTTTTCGCTCTAGGCGGAAGCTCCGAAATCCCCCCAAGGCAGCCAAAAGTTGAAAAGCCTTGAAAGATGGTACAATATTAGCACTTTGTTCAAACTTTGTGGGTTACGTACAGTTGAGTCGTATTTGGCAGTGGCAAAATGATGAGGCTCACTGGGCCATTGGCAGTCATGGTCCCGCAGTGAACGGCGATGTCACAATACAGCAACTCGGAGAAGTTTCTGAGTGCTGCATATGCAATGAACGACCGGCGCTGTGGTCCGGGATGCATCAAGGATGCATAATGCTTGTGCTTATTTTTTGACAGATTTGGCTAGGTTACTCTGCTGTTTGAGCACTGTCGAAAAGGTAAATAGTTTCAGTCATAAAATCTTATGCCATATTTCATTCGGCCCCCGTGGATTATATTGTCAAAATTTGTCCTCTCTACATAGGCCTGAAGCCTTAACTCGAGCTTAGGGAGCACTGTTACTTGCCGAATGATCGATTAAAAAGTAAGGACCAGCAGCTCTGCCGCCCGGGACAGGAAACGCATAGGTCGAATACCAGAAGCGCGGCATTGATTCGACTGCACGAAGCATTTGATTCTAAGTAGGTGTGTATTGTACATAAAGAAGTTGGTGCTAGTATAATTACAGTACATATCATATAACGACAAAACAGCCATAGCATGTGCAGGCTGGGTATAGGGCTGGATCCGGAACAGGTACAACTAATAGTTTTCGCGCAGCGCACAGTTCAGTAAACAGTATTTTCATGCATCCTGTGTCGTAACGTCGACTGTCAAGGGGGTAAACATTGACTTCGGTCTGTCAGCGCGGGCCAGCGTCGCGATGTCTACCTCCTCATCCTGCGGGTTTGTTCGGAAGCCGTTCCGCCTGATGCCTTCGTCGTCTTGCGCCATGGAGGTGCCTAGGGTGTCCAGAACGACGGAGTTCGTCCGCACGTGAAAATTGGAGAGCGTGGTGGGGGCGTTTGTTTTAGGTTTTATGCTCCCCAGCCCGACCTGTACAATCAGAAGCGTGGGCGCGATCCCCTGGTGGAAGGATTCAAACAAGTAAGAGGACGCCGGCGAGAAATAGAGTTGGTGTATGCCATCCATCACTTACCACAACTCGCATGCATATTATGATCAAATAAGTCTTAATGAAACCGGTTAGTTATCTCTAACGTACTCATTCGATAGCTCAATACGCACTCTGGAGGATTTCGTCGTAGGGTATAGAAGAAACAGTAGGAGGCACGCGGAATACGCTAGCCCTGTTTCCACCCTAATTATCAAGTTAATTATTACCAGGCATTTGCCTACGGTTCCGTCAAGAACGCACAGAATTGCAATGGCCGTATCATATATGCTCTGCCTCTGGCCGAAAGCTCTTTTCGCAAATTTTGAGATCCAGAATACCCGGACAACTGAATCCGACGAGAGCGCAGTCAGCGTTTACACTCTTGTTTAGATCCCGTGGAAGATATCTACCGGTAATCATTGTCAGCAGTATATTAATCGCGAAGATGTTCCAGGCATAGATTGGAACAAACTTGTTGGGTTGAGTTACCAGGAAGCCTGGACCCAGCCCCAGAAATCCCCATACTACGGGTGTCGGCTATATAAAATAAACCAGAGAGCGAAGGGATGACAAAACTCACTAGTGTCTCCTATGACAAGCAGCGAACACAACGCTAGGACGTATTTGGAGCGGTCCCACACGCCGTAGCACCTTAAAAGCTTCAAATGACAACATTGAATGAGCAGACATAATAGATCCATGACTGATACTAGTCGACTCACAAGAGTTAACTCGCCTACGCAACTGCCACAGAAGTAAACAATGCATGATGATATATCCACGAAACAATAGGCTCACTTTGAAGCGACAAACAGCGTTGTTTTATACTTGAGGAGGTTGGAGGCTTGTTTTTCAACTCCTGGATGGTTGAATTTGGCAATCGCGTACGACAGTATGCGAAACGTTATAGAGATGTCAGCGGTTGACAACACGAACATGACGGCGGCAGGAATAAAGAAAGGCCACCGGATCGACCGTCGTCTGTGGATGAACAAGTAGAGACATATGCAGAAGAGGGTGAAATGTATTCCTGCGTGGTGGTGAGATCATATGCGAAGGCTAAATAGTGGCGGAAAGGAAGCTGATCTGACCATAGAAGAGTGCCTCCACCTAACAAAAGTATGACGGGCGGGGACGTCAATGATTACAGATAGCGGAGCGGTGGCACGCACCATGCCGGCCGTGGAAAAGATGGCGACAATAGTCAGTTCCTCGTCAACAATCACCCCACACACGCCACCGATGACTGAAGAACTTGAGCGTCCAACTAACATAGGATGGAAGGGGGCGGGGAGTGAACAGAGGGCGGTGGGGGAGAGACACCAAGAATAAGTTCACCCAGTTCAGTGCCTGTCTGAACAATTTTATATCTCGTCAACACCTGATCGCTAGGTCATACATACACTGCTGCCGACTTGTGCTGCCTTTAGAAATGAAAAATCACTTCCGGCGTCCATCATCCAGGTGACAGCGCCATTGTACGCTAGCGACCACAATGCGTGAGAGGCAGAATATGAAAAATAAGGTTATGTATGATCGTTGGAGCCAAGGAGTGTGTTCTCTCTAGGGTTGCCAGTGCAGAGGAAAGGCATCGAATTCTACGGCTTTCCAAGTCCAAAAGAGCTGTGGAAGTGGTGGTATGTTTATGACCGTTATTGGCGCCAAAGTTTCGCGGGAGGACAGAGGAGGACATGTATTATGTAAATGATAGATTTGTTCTCGCAACCCCGAGGGGCGCGAGCCTGAAAAGTACTGATTGGTTGCATTTTACCGGTCGTTTCGCGTTCATCAAGCCGACAAAAGTGACAGACCGGACTCAACTGAGCAAAAGAGTACCAGGCGCCTGCAGGTGCCGAGTGAAGAGTATCGGTGAAATATACACTGATAGCTCCGCGAGGGACGAGCGTGTTGCAGATTCATTCGTAAACCACAAACGCCCAAAATATGTCGGTGGCAGGTGGAGCAGCAATGAAAAGCCGTAGCACGAGCAAATGGCAGGCACTGGGAAGTGTGGGACGATTTACAAATTATCCCTTGTACAAAACCTTGTTTCCTGGCAAGCAATCTACAGGAACTGGATTTCCTCTCCGTCGGGATCTGGGGTATGTCTTTGCCTGACATGAACATGCCACGCCCATAAAGTACCCCATTACATGGTTATTGGCCGTCGCAGGTAGGATATTCGACGCTTCACCGCTTCCTAGTGTCCTGGAAGAACGTGGAGGAATTGTGGGCTCGGATGCCATGAAAATGTTATGTCAATGGCCAGGCCAGTCGCAACGCGATTTGAAGTCAAGCAAGTACTAGTCACGAGTTTCCTGAGTTCGGCACTAACAGACGTAGATGAGGACCACATGAGGAATAAAAGAAAGGCCCAAGGCAGGTTGAAGGAAGGTGCGACAAAACCTTATTAGCCGGCGAACGTGGGCGGAATGGTTGGTTGAAGATGACAAATAATTCGTACATCTTGACATGATCAGTTGATTATATGCTATTGAGCGTGACTGATTAAAACAAACTGAAACATGTGCAGTGCCCGCTTAGCTCAGTGGTAGAGCGCGCCACTCGTAATTACAAGTTATGGTGAGGTCGGTTGTTCAAACCAGCCAGCGGGCATTTTTTGGTAATTCCTGTGAGTTCCCAAGGTATTTGATATCCAGGCCAATTTCCACGGTCCACCAGTGACAAGTTCCAGGCTTCCAGCGAAATTTACAATTGAGAATGTCAGGAGGAATCGGGATTCAGACATATGAATTCCATCTTATAAATTATGTTTTATCCCATTTTATAATTTATCTTTTCAAAGATCAACATATTGCCCGGTAGCTTGAGCCGGCCACGTTTTCTTTTTAGCATGCTAACAGCTGCGTTGACACGCAGTACTTTGCTGGCGCAACGCATGGATTGAGAGATTTCTATATACCATGCAGTCATGGTCGGCAACTGTTCGAGCTGCCAGTTGTTTGCCGGTTTAGTATAACTTGAACTAGTTACATTCCTATCTGAGGTAAGGGGTATCCAGACAATGTTCTTGAGATTTGAATGGAACTACATTGTACTATATTACAAGATTTGGAGGAGCCTACTTCGACAGCATCATCTGGAGAAGGGATCAGTAGTCTGATCACAAGCCTCACAAACCTAGTACGAACCTTCACGAATTCTAGACGCAGATATGATTAAACAAGGCTTTTGGAGTAGAGATGATACTGGAACGCACCATCATAGTTGATTTGGCCGTCGCCATCGATATCTGCTTCACGAATCATCTCGTCGACTTCGTTGTCTGTTAGCTTCTCGCCTGGGTAACAGAAAATAACCCAACATCAATTTCATTGGATCCTGAAACCGAGCAAAGACTGCGCACCGAGGTTGGTCATAACATGCCTCAGCTCAGCGGCACTGATGAAGCCGTTGCCATCCTTATCGAAGACCTTGAACGCCTCCTTGATCTCCTCCTCGCTGTCGGTGTCGCGCATCTTGCGCGCCATCATCGTGAGGAACTCGGGGAAGTCGATCGTGCCATTGCCGTCCGCGTCGACCTCGTTGATCATGTCCTGCAGCTCCGCCTCGGTGGGGTTCTGGCCCAGCGAGCGCATGACCGTGCCGAGTTCCTTGGTGGTGATTGTGCCATCGCCGTCTGCAACTGAATTAGTACCCTGGGCGGCGCTGCGACTGGGAATGGCGAACTCACCCTTATCGAACAATGAGAACGCCTCCTTGAATTCTAATCGACATAGGCATCGGTTAGCGTCGCGTGTCGGGCAGGGGGTGCTCAGGCCTGATCGCGAGCGATGGGGCCCCACGTACCGGCGATTTGCTCTAAGCGCAGCGGAAGGCGACGTTAAGGGGGTGTGGAGGGCGTCTATCAGCAGGGCCCTAAAACACGATGCTGCTACGACACTTCACCTTCAGACTGTGAGAGGTTGACGTCAGTATCGGCCGTTCTACGCTCGCAGGCTGGCGGTAATAAATCTCACCAGTTGATCCATTGCAGAACGGTTGTGGGGGACGGATGGAAACGGGGTGGGTGGGGCGAAGTGGTTGTACTGAGTACTGCGCCGTGGTTGTTCTTGTTTTATTTAAGTGCAGCGAGAGGTGCAGGGCACCAGTAGCATCGCGGCAATCTCCGAAAATATAATTTCGACTTCATCGCCCGTGCACCGACTTGCACCGCCGTCGGTTGGCATCTCAGCAATACTTCAACGTTGCTTGCACACAACCTGCACACCTTCAACACAGAATATGCAGTGCATTCATCCACGCCGTCATAACGTGGCTGCGCCAAGGCCGCGCATTGACACGCGGGCAGTTCAATTGCTTCCCAGCAGCTTCTCTCCTATTTTAGCAGAGAATATTGGTAGACGATCGTAGAAGGTATTCAGTCCGATTGCCCAGTCCAGAGCTAGCGCTTATCATACTACTGATGTCTCTGGAAAAGGTATGATTACTCGTCGGTGTAATTGAGATTTGATTTTGTCTCCGCCACTAGGAGAATTGCAGATGATTGCGGTATCTAGGAGCTATACAAATAGCATGCGAAATTACATTTGAACGACGGCGTTGATATACACATATTATATTTTTTGAGACCGGCAGTGTTCATTAAATGTACAGGATAGATATGATAGCGGTTAGACACTAGTTGCCGTTTAGAGACGCCTGGCGGGCCTCCAGTTCTGCATGGCTCTGCGAATAATCGTCAGACTCAATTCAAACTTAATAAAAGTTGACATTTGGGCGCTTTACATACCAAAGGCTCTGGAAGGTTATTCTTGATCTGCTCACTGGGAATGAATGGCCCAGGAGTATTGAAAGCATCCATGGCTCCGTTGTTCCTCAGGCCCCCGCTGGGCTGCAGATCAGCAGGATCGTTTGTTTTCTGCACTTAAAATATATTTAGCTATCCACCTAACAGTAGGTAAGCACATTGAAACGCACAGCAGGATGGGGTAGGATGCTGAACGTGGGCTCGTTAGTGCTCTTTGCAGCGGCGCTCGTGGTGTCGGTGCTGTTGTTCGAGCCCGCGAGCTTGGACTTTACGGTGTTGATTATGCTGGACATGCTTGTAATGGATTGGAGTTAGGAGCCTTGCGTCTTGTTGTGGTCTTATAGCGTCCAAGTGACTCTGGGCACCGGATGATGTCACTGAGTGATGACGAAATCGGAAATCGGCACCGCCTGGACTGCGCCATCAGCTTGACTTGCGCCGACCCGGCCGGCAGCGCTCAGCGATGCTTGGGAGCGTGCTCCAACTGTGCACGCGATTTTTGTGTCAAGATGCAGTCTCCCATAGCCAGTCATAGTCAAGACGTGATAGATTGTGTTTCTTGCTTGTAGTATGACAATACTTGTCTGCGTGCATCAATGAAGTCAAATCGACGATGCGCAGCTTGCAAGCTCGGGCGCAGTATAGCTCGGGCGCAGCACTGGCACACTGTAAGTAAAGGCGCTGCATAAAAGCGAGTCACATATGGGTCTTTTTATAAGCATACCCTGAATGCAACAACTGGTAGTCGAGCCTGTTCTAGAATTGCTAGCTGCGATGTCGGCGCTGATGAAGTTGCGTAATTATGGGTATCAAGGGCAATCGAGACAAGTAGAAGTTGAATGCGCTGGGCATGCTGCAGACCGTCTGCTACTATCAAAAATTGGTGTGCTATCCTTGCATTAAAAGTCATAGAAGTATGGATCCGATTGGATAATGAATCCGAGGACAGCCAATCATGGTCCAATAATGAATACATAACATCGCGGGCTAGGGAGAAGCAGCGATTGCATTTATAGCCCTGGAACTTCTGCCGTGGGTATCGGTGCTCTGCTTTAAACAATAGAAGGAACCCTGACTTAGTCACGGCTTAGAAAAAGTAAATCAACTAATATTTACGGAAGACCTATTACCAGGGCTGTGCCGATGATTCATTTGCTTGTAATAAGCGCCGGCTAAATTAGCGCCCATATTCGTGACTTTATCTGCAACAAAATTTCCGTAGTTTTGCACGAAGGCAGACATACATTAATTTCTGGCCAGCTCCCGACAGCGTGTGAGCGCCCGAATAGCTGCTTATACACTCGTATTATCGATCTGAGAGCGATACGAGGCATATAGTCCCCGGTCGGACTTATGCCTGTGCTTCTTTCACAGCGAAGTCGAGTGTGGCTATAATTACACAAGTAGGCTGCAAGTAGGCTATATTGGCACTCTCCGAATCTCTTTCAACCACGCTTGATTCATCAGTTGTCTTCTGGGCCATGGCTCCTGAACCGTTTTTCTGGTTGATTACTGGCTGCTCGTAGGCAATCATTTGCAATTCTCAGCGGCATTTAACGTTCATGTACGTCGACCATGATTAAGTCTAGAATTGGACGGGAGCTGACAATCGCTGCGCTCAAACGCGGTGACAAAGTCATCGCGACCGCCCGTCCGCGGTCCTTTGAAGTAATCAAGGACCTCAAGCTGTTTGGCGCGGAAGTCACAGCGCATATCGACGTCCTCAGGAAGATCACTGCAGAGGCGAGCGCGATATATACATACAATCATGTCAACGGTTGAATAGCCAGCATCCAAGCGGCAATCATTCCGGAGGAAGGCCTCAAAATTATTGATGTTGGGCTATTAATAGGCCAGCGCCTCGGAGCTACGTTAACGTTTTTGGCGCAATGAACGTCGCGCCCGCCTTCCTGCCGTACATGCGGGCCCGTAAGGCGGGAAAGATCTCCTTCATTGGGTAGTGTTATGGATGTCGGTGAGAACTTCCCTCCAAACACTGAATATTATTTTGCTTATATGAGATTAAATCAAGCCCTGCTTCGTTCAATGGGATTTACGTTGCAAGCAAATTCGCACTGCGTGGCAAGTGGCAATCTCATCTCACTGTATCTATTCCACGGAGATAACATCACGGAAGGCATGTCCGATACCTTGGACGAAGAGATATCGCCATTCGGCTTGCGCAGCATATTCTTCGCCTGAGGTTGCTTCCGCACTCCCGTTTTGTACAAGGTCCGCTACAACCCCGGTGTCATAGAGGAATATAGGGAGGCCGAGGAAGTGATCAATACAGCCCTGTTGCGTACGTATATTTGTAGATCACCCGGGCATGGAAATACAACAGCTGACCTTACATTCATACAGCATACAACGGGACACAGAAGGGTGATCCCGAAAGAGGCGTGAACACTATAATTGATGTGGTCAAGCGCGAAGGCGTCGCGCAGGGGAAGGACATCCCCAGCGGCTTTTCGCTCGGGGTGGATTGCTACGAGACTATAAAATACCACTGAGGTTACGTTGCAGAGGCTTGAGGCTTAGAAGGAAATAACTCTCAGTACAGACTATCCAGATAAGTTGGCGGCATCATAGAACCCATTGGGGCTTATCTCAAAAGTACACGGTTTCGGAAATTCTCAGGGCTCCAACCAAATGAGTAAAGGCAGCCGAATAATATAGTGGGAAAAGAATGGCTAAAGGGGAAATCATCTACGAGAAAGCAGGTATGGAAGAAGTACTTTGTAGGAACTCAATGCCCATGTTGACCTCGAATACTGATGATACTCCTGGCAGGCCCTGAATGCATTATACCAATGCATTGCCGGGGTTGACCTCAGCTTCGCGG